GGACTTTGCGAAGTTTATTTGCTGGTTAGTAGTACTGTAATTTTCTCCTCGCTCTTTCATTTTGGTTATGCACTCTCATATTTCAGGGATCGAGATTGTAGTAGCTATTTAACTTTCAGTTCACTTTTATGGAGAATTTTTCTATGTTAGCCGGTTCTCACTTCTCAGTACCCTCTCCTCTTCGTAACACATGTATTTTGCACTCACCGCTAGCTTCTCTCTCTCCCCCCGATAAACATAGGTCTCCCGGTCGTCACATTCTTTATCGAATCAACCATGAATTCCTTTATTTTTTTGTTAAAGCGTGGCATGGCAGACAGTTGCATACATGCATGCACATTCAACCTCTATCAACGCACACACGCGTATTCAGTGGCAGGAGAAGGAACTAAATTGACATGTGACGAGATGCCGAGCTAGAGAATATAGCTACTTAGGTAGTGTAAGATTAAAAACTAATGTTGCTTTGTATACATGTATGGGTGGGTGGGGCAGAGGTTCGGAGATTTTCTCGATCTGAGAAGGTCTTCTTCTTAAGCATAATGTCTGGGGCTGTCTTACCCCCGTGGGTCGAGTTTTTTTTTTATGATTTATGTTCTTCAAGCATGAAATATACAAACAAAAATATATAAATATATAATAAATTAAATTACCTGGATCGCGTGATGCCTAATAGAATTGGACAGAGAGAGGCAATCAACCAATCAGGCAAGCAACACGTCCCTGGTTCTTGGCAGTTGGCAGCTCCCACCAAGCAATTAATTAATGCTAACGTCAAAATAGGCCATGATGGTTTGTTTTGGTAGCATGGTTGAACACATCACCTGAGGGGGGCGGGGGTGGGGGCGCGAAAAGTCCCCACCTGAGCATGGGCTGGAATAAAGTCAGCCCAAGGAAATATGGCAATGCACAGTCCTTATATTTCAAGATGGAGGTAGTAGTAGCTAGTAGCTCCTTGTATGTCTCAACTTTCAATTCAATTTTGTGAAACCCCTACAGTATATTAGCTGGGAGGATATTATATTTCTCCTACTCTACATACTCAGTTTATTTTCACACTAGCTTTCCTCTCCCTACAAACCTACCGTCACAACTCCTATCAAGTCAAACAGGAATTGCCACTTTTTTAAGAAAAAAACATACTCTATTGTCTACGACTATAAACACCTCTGAGAGATTAGACCAACGGACATTAAGAGTTGTAGGCGCTTCATTGTCCACTGGCAACAAAAATACTTTTCTTCTTAGAGTAAATTTAAGAAAATGCAATGACTACACCCATGCCAAGTTAAAGACTTCAATCTATTAGATGGTTTCCAAAACAAGGAACTCAATTAACCGAGGTACACTCAGTTTTGTGTTCAGCCTCCTCATTCAATTCCTCTTCCTCCTCTTGCTACTTCTTTGGCAAATTAAAAAGAATTAACACTACACCATAACCTACTTTTCCCTATAGTTATGTGTTGTGTTGGTAAAACTAGGCTTTTGACAACACATAAAGTGTCGGCAATGATATACCTTTTTTAGGTCACCTTAACTGTCGCCAATAATAATGTAAGGCTACACATTATGTGTCGGCGTTTATCCTTCCAACCTAAAAAGTGTCGGCAAAAGTTTTTTGACAAACAAACTGTCGTTGTAGCCTAAGCAAACCACAGTCAAAGTGTTGTCGAAGGCTATGCGCCGAAGCAACCCATCCCCATTCGTCTCCCCTACTCATGCGACTCGGGGGAAAAAACCCGCAGCCAGTAGAGACCGACGCTGCCGGCCACCAGCAGATCCCGACTCGGCGCGCCACTAGGAGGGCTCCTCCGCCGGGCGCCGTAGGAGGGCTCCGCGGGCTTGGCGCCGTCAGTAGCCACTGTCGTCGTCTCCCAATCCCGCCGCAGCCGAACTCCCTCCCCAGGCCCCCATCGCCGAATCCAACGACGCCACCACCCCAGTCCCTAGCCCCCTGTCGCCCTAGCCCTCCGCCTCCCAAGCCCGCCTCCCCCAAGCCCGCCGCCTCCCAAGCCCGCCATCCCCAAGCCCGCCGTCGCCCTAGCCCACCGCCGGCTAGCAAAAAGCAGTGCCGCCGCCGCATCCCCATTCCCCTCCGCATCCAGGTGCGTCATCTCCGCATCCCCTTCCTCTGATCCCTATTCCCCTGCGTGCCAGGTTTCGGCGTAGCTTACTTTCTTGTATTTTTTTCTTGGTTGCAGAAAGGAGTAGACGAAGGTGAGAAAGGCTGAAAGATTCAAGGTTTGGGTTACTTCTCTTGCCAAACTTTCATTCAGTCTAGATCCGCTCTCTTCCCCTCTTTGGAGAAGGAACATATTCAGCTCGATTTCGATGTGATGTTTACTGCTTTAGTTGATTTTGCCTTGAGTAATTCAGCAAAAGGAAATCAGATTTTGTTCCTTGCTCATTTATGGCTGGAGCTGTTAGCAGACCGTATTACTAATGAAAGCTATATGTTTTAGGGATATTGGATCTGGCATTTCATCCAATCCGAGCAGGGTAGCAATTGCAGAAAGTAATTTTCTTTAAATTATTCATGTTTTGCTTTTGGATGCAGTGTAATTGTTCGATGGTATTCCACTAAGAAGGCCTAGGTTCAGTCCTGTCTGCATCTTGGAGGTATGATATGTAGAATTGAGTCTCTTACTTTGCCTTTAATTGATTCTTTAAAATTGAATACTCATGTAAATATCTATTTGTTGAAATAGAGATTGTGTGCCACTGCTAAATATTTTAGTCACCTTGATGCAGTTTTGTGTAAGATTAAAAGAAAAACGATAGTCGCATACAAAGGGTTTAACTAACTGACTTATTTCGCTTTTGTATGAACTCTGAACTTGTAGGTTTCACCCTACCTGAATATGAATACCTGATCATACGCTTGTTAAAAGTTGATTACCTCTAAATTTGTGGTACCATGATCCATTGTAAGAACCAGAATATTAGTGTGTTTTTATATTGAACTCCAATTCATGAGATTCATCATATATTTTATTTTTTAAATACTCACATGAACGCTCCAGCCCAAACTAAATATTTGTATACTCAATACATATGCTACTGTAAGTGTACCCATACCTAGTATTATAATGCTATAGATTTATGCATATTTATGTATTTGCTGGTCCATCTTGTGATGCTTAGGTTAGCTTCTTAAATTTGTATATGACAAATATATCATAGAAGCAGGACGCATATGACAAGGCTAACTGGACGTCGACCAATTTATATAGTGATAGTGATCATGCTGATGTTCTAAGTGAGAATAATTTATCCCTTGTTCTAAAAGATGTGACACTGCAGTAGCGGCCGTGTTCCTGTGCTGAGCGTTGCCATGCGAGTGGAGCTGCTAGTGGCAAGAGCGAGCCTGCTAGTGGCTGAGCAGCAGGTGTTGATGTTCTAACTTCCAGGGAAGAAGCAAGCAAGCTTGAGGCTTCAAGTACTAGGTATAAAAATACATTTTTCTCATTTCCTATAATTAGCTCTTGTGTTGATGGTTTTATGCCGTCTTTAGATTAAGGTATTTAATGGAGTAATGACATATTATCATTAGTCAAGAACTTTGTGTTACTTGGCAACTCTGATTTTGCACTTTGGTTGACAACAAAATGCCCAAGTTACTTTAGTTATGCTTGGTCTTTTTGTATATTGGGCAGCTCTTTAATGTATGGTTACAGTTGCATTGCTATTCGCTAATAGACTAGTATTCCTAGTTATAGTTCCACTGATTGTTAAACTTGCATGGATTCAGTTCGTGAACTGATTTTTAACCTTGCAGCTTTAATTATTTGGGTCAGTACATGCTTATAATGTAAGTCTAGTATTATTGCCATCAGAACGGGTGGCTTTCTTGTTTCTAATGCATTGTTGCTTTGCTTATAATTTGCACAGAAATATCCTGATAACCTCAAGCGGAAGAAATGGCAGTTTCCAGTTTGTAGGTATCTCAGTCATGCTGCTCTATACTATGATGTGAAATTTAGCACGGTTTGTTATGCCTTCTGTATGATGAATATAGGCAGCATGGTGTAGTAGCACTACTAATTCCTTTGTGTATTTCATGGGTTTTCCTCACATATAAATTAAGACAAGAATTCTTATGCATAGTAGTTACTGTAATACAGTACAATTCTTCTGTTCCACCGAATGGTGGTTTAATATTTACTGTAATACAGTACAATGGTTCTGTCTCAGCCTCCCTCTTTGATCCGCTCTCCCAACCTCAAATCAGTTTTGCTCCTTCTGGATGATATGCAAATTATTGGCTAGTTAGGTTCTACACATGCTGTAAATTATTGGTTGAAGGATTTTACTTGAACATTATTGGCTAGTTAGGCCATCACAGCTTGAAGGTATTTTACTTGAACATTTTGATTTATATATGTGATCCAAAGTGTTTGCATTGTGGGAAAGCAATGAGGCTGTGTTGGCTGGCAGCTATATGAATTTAAAATTTGACTATAATATATAAGTTGAAGAATTTCTGGAAGGTTTGGTTGGCTGGCAGCTATATGAATTTAAAATTTGACTATAATATATGATTAACTTAATTATGTGTACTCCCCTGATCTGCCATATGTATTTTTGTTCCTTCTTATCTACTATATACATTGAGGGGCTGATTCAGTAAGTTTAGTAGCCACTCAAACTATAACTACTTAATATAGAGATAGTATCAGGTTGTTGCAGTTGTTGTTACTCCATTGAATTCTTATTAATAATGTTGACCTTGTTGAATCCAAGATGAAAATTATATATACCATTATTAAGCTGCTGGTACCTAGCTTTAAATTCAGTCCGCTCTCCTCATGGAACTGAAGTTGTAGCTGAACTCTTCTCTTAATGTGAAGTTGTCAAGCAACAAGACAGTGAGGAGGGTTCGTGTTCGTGGAGGTAATGTGAAGTGGAGGGCTCTTTGCCTAGATACGTGGTCTACAATGCATCAAACAATGAGCTTGTGAGGACTCAAACCCTTGTGAAGAGTGCCATTGTGCAAGTTGATGCTACCCCATTCAAGCAGTGGTACCCCATTCACTATGGAGTTGACATCTGTAGGAAGAAAGGCTTCTGCTGCAAAGAAGGAATCTGCTGAGGTATTATTTCTTGCAACACAGCGTCTCACTATTTACTATTAAATGTTTTTAATAAGGGATTGGCTTCATAGTTCATACATCATGTTTTGTAGCTAGCAAATATCATCTCTTTCTGTTCTCTCTTTTAAAGACAACTGACTCAGCACTATGAGTTTTAGATTTCTATATGGAAAATGTTAAATTTGATTGTTTTTATTAATATATTTTGCTTGAAGTATTTCCATAAAGCAGAGATCTATAGTTAATTAGTTTTCTATCTTTAGCGTCTGTTATGTTTCCTCTGGTGGATCACTTATTGTTTGAGATTCATTCATCTAGGGACAAGAGGGTGAGGCAGCAGCTGAGGAAACAAAGAAGAGCAACCATGTCAAGAGGAAGCTTGAGGAGTGTCAGAAGGGACGTGAGCTTGACGCTCACATTGAAGAGCAATTTGGTAGTGGAAGCTTGCTGGCGTGCTTTTCTTCCCGCCCTGGACAGTGTGGCCGAGCTGATGGGTACGAAATAATGGACTTCCAGCAGACTTTCTTTGTTTTTGTTAGAGCAGCTTATCTGTTTGTGTACCATTTAACTTTTGTAGCTTAAAGCTTAATGTTTGTTTATACTCTTTATGTTACAATCACTGTCAGTCTCACTACTACAGAAATGAACTTGCGCAGCGTTGCATAATTGGCCTTCGTGGCGGGCACTATTTTTGCCCGCCACGGTAATTCGGTGGCCGGCCGGCCACTGAGACGCCCGCTGCGGTAAATGATTTACCGCAGCGGGCAACCTTATTTGCCCACTGCGGTAAATCCCCATTTACCACAGCGGACATCTTAACGCGTCCGCCACGGTAAATCGATTTACCGTGGCGAGCACACTAAAAGGCCCGCCACGGAAAAAGGCAAGGCCCAAATGGCCCAGTGCTGGCCCGATAGTTGTCTTCATATATAAGCCATCACTTAGGGTTCCCTTTCACTCCTCTCTCCCCCTCGCCCTCCCTCTCACTCTTCTCAGACGTGGCCGCACTCCCTTCCCACGCGCCGCATCCTGAGAGACGAGCCCCTCTCCCTCGACCCCCACCCCTACACTCCCCATCCTCTATCTCTCCCGGCGGCGGCAGCGCCCTTCTCGGCCGTGGTGGTGCGGCTCGCGCGGGTGGAGGGCGGCGCCATGGCGTGGCTCGCGTGGAGGGAGGACGGCGCGTTGAGGCGACTCACGCGGGCGGAGGTTGTCACGGTGGCCCGTCCTCCACCAGGATACAGTGGCGCGGTGTCATCTCGATCCACCTCCAGCGACGGCCACGGCGGCGGATCTGCCTCGACGAGGGCGTATCCGGACCCGGCGGCTCCACGGCGTCGATCCGGCCACCAGCGGCTCCACTGCATTGATCCGGCCACCGGTGGCTCCACGACGTGAATCCACATCTGGCGCCCCTCTCCCGGCGGTTGGTGGGCCTGTCGACGGTGGATCCGGTGAGGTGGAGCTCAAGGCGAGCTCGCATCGGATCCTGGTGGCGCTAGGGTTTCGGTAGGGTTTCGGACTATTGGGTTGGAAACGGGCTCGCTGGTGGGCTGAGAATGGGCTCACTGGCGGTCTCCTGGTTTTTTTTGTTTTTTAAAAAACATTAACTGCGGCGGGCAAAGCCATCCGTCGTGGCCTACCGTGGCCTCTAGGCCGCGGCGGACGGCTTCGCCCGCCGCGGGAAACCAAAAATGCCCGCCTCCAGTAAAGTTTGTGTAGTAGTGTCTAGACATTTTAGATATGTTGGCAGCTGTCACAAATTTATCCTTCTAGGCTTCAAGTAGAATGGAAGTTGTCCCCTTATTTTCACTTATATCTTATATTGCAGGCAGCTCCTTACAATACACTTTTCTTTTTTGTATAACAGGTACATCCTTGAGGGTAAAGAGCTTGAGTTCTACATGAAGATGCTTCAGCGCAAGAAGGGCAAGGGCGCTGCAGCTTAGAGCATTCTCTTGGATGGTCCTCCGCGGAAATGTGTGTCCTATTAAATATTACTTTGGCTTTTTTTGTTAGTCGTCTCAAGTTTAGAACGTCTATATCATGTTTTGCAGACCTGATGAGAACACTGTTTTCCGAAAATAAATCAACTCTATCTAGCTCCTAAGGATTGAGATTTTCCTTCTATATGAATAACAGTGGATTTGTTAAATTATTCAAATTGTATTTATATCTATATCTGCAGTACAGTTTTGCCGATAGTTTAGTTGTTGGACAGGGCATGATTCACAAAATACCTTGAAAATGGTTTCGCCAACACACAAACTGTCGGGAAAGGTTCAAACTGTCGACGTAGGTCTTAATTGTTGGCAAAGGGTTAACTATCGGCAAAGGTTTCAACTGTCGGCGTAGGTCCACCATTTGTCAACACAAAAAGTGTCGGCGATTCCTTTAACTGTCGGCGAAAGTTTCGCCCACGGCTTATAGCGTGACTGTTTCTAAACTGTCTGCAAAACCTTTCGTGAGAGGTTATCTGTCGGGAAAGGTACCCTTTGTCCACTATAAAAAATGTCAGCAAAGGTATGTTTGTGTTATAGTGTAATGCTAAAAAATATGCCACAATGGTGAATTTTTTGCAGTAGCGCGTGAAAAAAGTAAGGACATACTACTACTACAGAACTACTACAGAATTGGACATCACTGCTGGCCTCATCCGACAGTGATAGGACTAACTGAGACTGATATTCGGGTCTTCACTGTCCGGTTCATATCACTATCGGTTTGAGCCAAGAACTGACAGTGATATTGAGTCATCACTGTCGGTTTTAGCCAAGAACCGACACTGATACTATCACTGTTGGTTCGTGGCTTGAACCGACAGTGATATGCTACAAGAAAACTTCATAAGTTTCTCATATGATGTTCGATGAAAATAAATTTTATATCAAAGTTGTAGTACTCGACGAGATCTACAACTTTGTAGTTTAAACTTTTTTAATTTAAGATCGTTCAGATGTCCAAATATTTTCATTTCAAATCATCTATCTAACAAAAATTACGTTTATTTTTAAAATTTAAAATTTAAATTTTTCAAACGATCTTGGATGGAGAAATGTCCAAAACGAAAGTTGTAGATCTCGAAAAGTTATGCAACTTTATAGTTGACAACTTTTTAATTTCAAATCATTTACTACTTTAAAATTCTATTTGAAATTGTTGAAGAACTATGATTTCTCTTTTTAATCTCTGGCTAAAACTTATAACTAGTCTATCTTCCACATACTAACTTTAAATTTGATGATTTTTTTTCTAAAAATTTCTAAAATCATGCTCTATCAATTTATTATGTTCTTATAGCTATTATTTTATCCATCTTTTCATGTGACTGTGTTTTATCTATTTGAATTTCAAAAAATATCAACTTCAAACGTCATTTAGGAATACTAAACGATTTCAGCTGAAAAAGTTCTGAACATAGAAGTTGTAGAATTTATCAAGATCTACAACTTTTATTTTGATAATTTCTTCATCCGATAAAGTGGTAGTAACATTATTAATAAAATTTACATATCTCTCTTGTAGTTTCATAAACTATTCATAAACTATAAGAAGGATAAGTAATATTTGTGAATAATATCACTACCACTATTTAGGATGAATAAATGATCAAATGACAAAAATAAAAGTTGTAGATCTTGGAAAATTATGAAACTCTGTAATTGATAACTTTTTGATTTGAAATCATCTTGTAAGGAAAATGAAAGTTGTAAACGACCTCGGATGAAGAAATTACCAAAATAAAAGTTGTAGATCCCAAAAAGTTATGAAACTTTTTTGTTGACAACTTTTTGAGTTGAAATCATCTTGTCAAGAAAAACTACGTTTGAATTTTCAAAAATTTGAATTTTAAATTTTTAAAATGACCTCGGATGGAAAGTTGTAGATCTCAAAAAGTTATGAAACTTTGTAGTTGATAACGTTTTTATTTGAAATCATCTTGTCATGAAAAACTACCTTTTAATTTCTCAAATTTGAAATTCAAATTTTGTAAGTTCGGATGGAGAAATTACCAAAATAAAAGTTGTAGATCTCGAAAAATTATAAAACTTTGTAGTTGATAACTTTTTCATTTGAATTCGTTTAGGGTCCTAAATACTCATTTTAAAATCAGATGAACATAAAATGGTTAGGACGAAAATCTCATTCGGACACAAACAGCTTGCAGATGTAGTGGTTAGGGGCCAAAGACACAAAGTAGGAGGTCAGGGTTCGAGCACTGGTGGCTGCGTAGCGTGCATTTTTTACGCGAAAAATCTTGTGTCCTGTGACTTGCGATGCGCGACCATATGGCTGTCCATTGGAGCCTCTCTCAGAATTAAAAAAAATCTTGTGACTTGTGTAGTTTGGCTTCATAAATATTTATATTTTTCTATAAATTTAGTTAAATATAAAAATTGACTTAAGACGACTCTTATAATTAATGTATTTAATGGACAGAGGAAGCATATTTAATACAGACACTTGGCACCGTAAAGCATGCACAGGGACAGGGACCATTTGCCAAGGATCCTCACAAATTTAAAAGGCTATCCATGGAACACGAGGGTATCCGAGCGGGCGGTGGAAAGGCCAAAGGCCTGTTTGGTTCACTTCTACTAAACTTAGCTATTAAATTTTAATCACTTTAGTTAGTAAACTACTAAACAGACTGACTAAAAAGGAATTAAAGTAGTTTAGTCATATTAGTTATCAAGAATAGCTAAAAATGGGCTAAAGTGTCTAGTGGATAAGGGTTGTTCCTCATTATTGCTGACCCCCCACCCTGATTTGGGTATTTTATTAGAGGTAGTTTGGTCTTTGTTGAACTGGTTTAATAGCCTTTAGTCACTAGAACTAAATAGGGGTGACTAAAATTTAGTCATTGGTTTTAGTAGCTCAATTTTAGCAGGGAACCAAACGGGCCATAATAATGGTTGGTCGGAAGAATCGAATAAAGCATCCAGCCTCCATCGTGAACCAGTTACGCGATTGTGTCATTTGGGTATTTCAGTTCGTAAATCTTGTTAAGCTGCTAACTCTGTGGCGGACGATTTCCGTGCCACAAGCTGTGGCTGCGCCACACATGGGGTGGCAAATGATGGCGGTCATCCAAACAGCCTCTAACTCTTTATCTTTGTTTTTTTAATCTAATATAAAGCAAAGCACTACTGAACTACTATAAGTACTACTCATGTCTTTTAAGGGCGTACCCTAGCAGTCCGTCGGTAGCCTTGGTAGGAAACAACGCCACTCACTTTAACGAATGATCCTTCCAAAAGCCCAGCATCCGTGTTCATGACACCCCATTTCAAAAGTGGCGTGTTCCTATTATTGAAGTTGAGCGCATCTTGATATGGTGGTGTTCACGTTGAAATTAAAATAGATTATGAATGCGTGTTGTCCTGAAAAAATCAGTCTAAAAATATTACTTGGCGCGCTAGCATAGTGTCCGTGAGACGTAGAGGACTGCTCTGGGCTCGTGTTCGTAGTAGGCCAAGCTTGTTTCTATACGGAAACTGGGCTTGCTCAAGCCTAAGACCCCTGCATAACAGGTTTCCAAATGTGTGAGCTAGTTGGGCTTCATCCGTAGGGAAAAGGCCGAGAACCCCACGTTAAAATGGGCTGACAAACTTGCTCTCAGTTTTCTCCTCCGCCCAATGCTATCCTATACTAGTACTTTGCTTGTAACCATAGGAGCAAGGAGATAAGCAAACATTAACTATAAGGCTATGTTCGGCTGCTCGTATGAGCCAGCTTATCAGTCATGGTATAATATTTTTCTCTCCCAACAAATCAGCCATATAAATCAGCATAAATCAGCGTGTTCCTATTATTGAAGTTGAACAGACTATTCGTCTATTGGATATTTGGATTGCAATGAGAGACATAGGTTAAAGTACAATATATGATTCGGAGGATCAAAAATCATGTGAAAATAACGTGATAATAAACAAACAGACCATTTCAGTTATTTGTTCTAATTTGCTGGAAAGACATACATGCAAGAATTCCGCTAGAAGATTTTCTCTATATAACGGAAATCGTGGCCAAGCTCTGCCCTCTCATTGGGCCACGCTGTGCTTTTTTTTATCCTCCGTTGGATATTGATCGGACCATCCACGGTGCAGCAGATAGCGATTCCAGAGCCTTCGTCTCCGGTGCGAGACAAGCTGTCGCCGCCATCCCCTTCTCGCGCAAGGCGCGCGTGCCCTCTCCTCGCGCTGATGCCAGGCCCGAGCCGACGCTTCTCTCTCCTGCCAGCTCGACCTCCAGGCTCCAGGCCAAGGACCTGATCCACGCCACGTGCGACGCCAGCTCCGACTCCAATCGTCCCTCCCTGCGCCGCACCGCCTCAATCGCCTGTTTTTCCACCATCTTGCGCCTCCACAGGCACAGAGCCATGTCACAAAGAAAGTAGCCGGGATCCGATCCGATATCCCCTCCTCACACTGCGCCCGCTCCTCACCGGGAACACACGCAACTGCAGCAGGCGATGACAGCGCAGGCTAGGGCCAAGGCCGAGCAGGGAGAGGAGGACGCGGCCGCCGGCGCTGCGGACGATGCCGGGTAGTGCTTCGTGCCCCGCCCCCTGTTTGTTGCCCGCCCGCCCTAGGCCATGCCGGCGGCAGGCTGCCTTCGTGGTGCCGCTCCCGTGCTCCAATGTATGCAATAGCATGCGCTCCACCTGTTTGCTCAAATGCCTGTGGGAGATGGAAATCAGTTTTGGCCTAGGAGTAGCGCGCCATAGAATACAGGGATCCAGCATAGACACCTCCCTGGATTCTGACTGGGCGATGCATGAAGTGCATACTGATGTAAAGGCAACATACAAGTTCCACAAGCTACGATGGATGATGGTAATTACAAAAGATGCTACCTGCCCTCTTTGCCCTCTTTTTCATATTTGATAAGTATTATAATACTGAATATATCATGGCCAATAAACTTTCTTCAAGCATGGATATAA